AAGCCTCATCCAGCCTGTCCTTGAACACTCCTAGGGATGAGGCATCCACAGCTTCTCTGGGCAACCTGTTCCAGATAACCCTGCCTCTTATGAAAGGGATATAAAACTGTGCCCAACAGTTGCTCTCCAAATGCAATTCAGACCCTCTGTTTTTGCAAGTACAGATTAGTTTTTCAATATTAAAGCGGTGAAAATTGTGGCACTTTTCCTTGTTTCTCTAGCAAGGAGAAATTTTCTCAGCTGTTGGCTTCCAATACCAAATAACATGGCCTCTACACTGGTCACTGTGTGCTTACTTGAGAAGATTTTGCTGCTACACAATAAAAGGTTCAATCACCAAAAGCAGAGATGTGGTACAGAAGGAGAGCCTTTCACATTTCTCCTTCAGTTTAGAAAAGGATGTGCTTCAAAAGCATCTTGCAAGCACCCACACATGTTACAGAGCACTCTTCTTTCGCAGGCATTTCTCAGAAGCTTCAGCAATTCAACTTCTAAAGATAGTGGTAAAAGTTCATGTGGCAACAAGGCTGACGAAGCCAAGGAAGTTAAGCAGATTATCTGTAAGGTTACCATCCACACTGCTTTGACACTTTAGGGTAGGGAAGAAGAAATGAAAAAAGCTGCTGGTGACCAAAAACAAGAATCTGAGCTACAGTCTGATGGAGAAAAAGACAAGACAAAGAACAGGGAGAAGCATTTCAAAAGCAAAGGAAAACATGGTGGCAGAAACCTGCATCAAAGTCTATATTCCACTGAAGCATACAAGCCTTGAAACCAAAAGCTTCATGGATCCGGTACTACTCAAACTGTGGAAAATTCCATTACTCCCTCATCATGGAAGAGGCAGTGGCAACTGTCATCTTTCAGAGTAAAAGAAACCCGAGGGGAAAAAACAGAAATTGCAGATTTGAAATAAACATCTTCATTCACCATTTCCTTTCCTTTTTTTTTTTTTTTTTTTTGGTAAAGGTTTTCCATCTGGCATGAAAATTTTAAGTTGAGACAACATTATTTTGGGAAAAGCTGGAGGGTATGTGTGGGCAATACAAACAGAGGCTTTAATGGAAAAAACTAGTCACGGCATTACCAACTGACAGACTATTATCCTTCAGTAACGAACCGACATGACGGTACTTTACTTTCCTTTCCTTTGTTTTTAAATAACGGACGTTGTCTCATCGCCTGCTGACTACTACGGAATGGTTCTCAATGTACTCGCAATGCTGCAGCCACTCAATTACAGTAGCTAACTTCTCTTGTATGTAAAAACGGAACAAAGAAAAATTCCATCAGGACAAACTAAGTTTCAAAGGCTAAATTAAAAAGTATAACAAATATGTGCAATTAGCAATTACTGAATTGTTAGGCTTGTGAATAGTTTTTTCTTAGTTTTTGTCCTTTTAATTCTTGCAAATATAAAAAGGCAACTGACTGTATTCTGTCCTCTACACCTAAGACGCTTGGAGAGTTCAGTACACTACCTAGGGCTGACAGGTATGGTAACCCAGAAAAGGAACTCCATGCTTTCCAACAGCCCGAGGGAAGGCTTTCAGATGCAACTAAGAACATCCAAGAATCACAGCATAATAAGATCACCAGCTACCAGAAGAACCAGAACAGCAGACTAGCATGCCAAAACCCCCTAACAAATAGAACCACTAGATAATTCTGATTCTATATGAAGAAAGAACTGAGGAAGAAAGGAATTCAAACTGTCTGGAAGGAATTTTTATCAAATGCGCTGTGTATCTAGAATATGAGATAAGTTTGCAGTGCATTAATACATCTGAGTTCATACAGTCTCAGCAAAACTCTGCTCACAATTACTTCAGGGCATTCCAGGAACACATAACTTGACTGGAACACATGACACGAATATAAAAACTAGGAAGAATTTGACGTGAATTCAAAGACAAAAAAAAAGTGGTCATTTTAAAAGAGGCTGGTTGGAACAACTGTATCACTGCTGAAGTGTTAAACCATGCTCAGAGTTTGCCAATTTCGAAGGCTTTACTGTGCAAGTCAGCCAACCACTGCAAATGCCCACGGTGAAAACAAAACAAAAAAAATGCAAGTGAGGAATCTGCTTGTTCTTCAAGTTTGTGGCAGTTACTAAAAGATGAAATAAACTTGAAGTTTTCTCCTCTGGCTGGTCTGACATGATGGCTTTCTTCTCTTTGAAACTTCTCTCTTTGCCATTAGTGTTAATACTCGTATTTCACCATACAGACACAAATGCCTTTCCCACCTACATCTCGGGCATTTTCAAGTCTTCCAGAGTTAAAGTTTGGAGGATATTACCTTCTGATGTCTGTGATCACATTTACCTCCAGACTCTAGATTAGGCATTAGAAGCAGAGAGTCTGACATCAGCTAGCATTGATTTTAGTCCATTTAATTATCCTTCTATGTGTTGATGAGACATGGATCGTGTGTGAGAACCAGCTGTATCTTAATGTGGTAAATCAAAACTCTCATTATGCATTTCCAAAATAGCTGCACTAAGGCCGTGTAGTATTTCCTAATTTTGCAGGGCTTGAAAACACCAGACTAATGAAAGTCATCCTTCACAAAGATACATCAGACCTCTCTCCTCTGCACAAGTGTCCCCTTCCTTACGTGCCAAAATCTGCTTTCTATTTGTCCCATTACTCTTCTTTTCCCATGTGTCTCACACTTCAGTAAGCTGCCAATAAACTTGTATCAAACCCTTGCATAGCATTCATTTTACAAGAAGAGCAAGACAGGTGTCTGCTCCCACATGTATATCAAGGTACAGGGGTCAAAGGCTGTGAGCTCCACCTGGAGCCCCTTATTTATGCCAGAGAAAGAGAACATTAAAGGGAAGGCTGTCTCTCATGTTTTCTAATAGCTGGCTTCACCTGGGCATCGAGGTCACTACTGGTGGTATTCTCCTCTGACGTGCCCAAATGGTCTCATCCAGTTCAGAGAAAATTTAAAACTCTTACCTCAACATTACAAACATCTCTTCCAGAGATGGACGCCTATATTTCAGACCTTACTGAGCTTCATAGTGCCCAAGTTTCTCTACAGATCTGCTCCTAAGGTAGGGGAGGCAGTACAGGACATACAGTTTGGATTGAAAGGAAAAGGCATCAGAGGGGAAATACTTAAGTAACTGTGAGATTCTTTTGTGGATGCACTGTCTTCTTCAGCACTGATACAGTATGAAACAACCATTCTTCAGCACAGTATGAAACAACAGCATCATTATGGATTGCAGCTTAATGAACCCCTAAATTTAATTTTGTTCAAAAACAGCATCCAGGAAAATTAATAACACTACCTCCTAAAGCAGAGCAGTACTGCCTTCAAAACGGTTTCCATACTAGCTCATTTCCACACCATCAGGGAAACAATGATTTTTCCCTCCTCCTGTTGCTTATGTTTCTTCCTTTGAGAAGCTTCAACAGATTAAAAATTTATTCTATTTTCCTTTTTCCCCACTGCACAAGAAAATATTATTTCTGAACAAGATCATATTGTATTTCTAATTAGGATTTAGATAGCACCATTCATTACTCAGAACTAGGCTAGTACATGGCACACAGCAGAGACCTAATTATGCCAAAAGGCTCCAAGTACCACTGTGGTGGAAGGAACAAAAGTAAAAATCTGTACTCTGACCTACAAACCTCTTCTCCATTCACCTGCTCATCATAAAGAATCAAATCATATTTTTAGCAGGAGCAGCTGGTTGTGAGGGGTCTGGAAGAGATTAAATAGCTACACCAAGTTCGTACAGGCTATTTGTGACAGAGAACATCTCTGAGCCCAGATTTCCCAATTTCCCGATACCACTTCCATCACTCACACACCTCTGAACACCACTAACCATAAAGACAAAATAAATTTAGAGAAAATTTACTGATTATACAGAAGTAGCAGAGCATCTTAAAGCAACTTGTACCTCATCAAAAGAATGTTTCAGCAGAGAACACGCAGCCGATTCTGCAGAAGCACGAGGAGAGAGGGGTGCACGTCAGGCACTACCACCGAGCTCCCTAGCTCACTTTCTTCTGATAACTAGAGTTTCCCTCTTTCAGAGAAAGCTCTACTAAATATTCATTCTGGGTATTTCTTAGTGGAGTCATATGGGAAAACTTATTTTCATCATGCCGCTTTCTTGAAAAAGTTAATAATTTTGCCAGCAAATATGCAGTAAAGCATCAAAAAAGTCCAACATAATCTTTTATTTCTTTTAAGGATTTCACAGAAACAAAGATGACCAATGCCTCTGAGGATCAAGACCTGAGAAAAATCCTAAGTCTTTGGCTTATACTCCCTACTTAAGGACTTGGGTCCAGATCAACATGCAAAACAAAGAGAAACTTGTGGTATAGTACAGAATGAAGAGTACCCGAGGGATGCAGGGGGAGAAGAAAAAGGTCATGGAATTTTACTGTTGGGTTAGCCAAAGAATAATAAACAAAATGGCTGCTCCGTGTTATAAAATACACTGAGGCTTATTCTAGGGTTTACTGATGTAGTAAAGCACTTCCTCTGGGTTCCCCTCTCAGACATATAGCACGTTAACTATATTTAACCATAAAAATTCTGGAATCAGCTCTGAAGATGAATACTGTCTTCTGGACAAGTGCGTTATTCTCCTCTGCACAGTCATAATTTTCTTTCTTAATGAAAAACCTTCATTTTCTGACATGTATCTGTAATGAACGGTGCTTACGTGCACGCACCTGTTTTCACAGGATCATAGAATTGTTTGGGTTGGAAGGGACCTTAAAGACCATCTAGTTCCAACCCCCCTGCCATGGGCAGGGACACCTTCCACTAGACCAGGTTGCTCAAAGCCTCCTCCAGCCTGGCCTTGAAGTTTTGCCTGCTTCATTCTGTTTGGCTTGCTCCCTTGCAGTGCCTGTTTCTGTGAACTGTTACAACACCTGTAAACACTGAAGCCATCCACCACTTAACGTTATGGTCACCAAATACCAGAAAACACAGATCAGGCACGGACTTACGCAGCTCTTCCCGGTGTCTCTCCGTCTGTGCAAAAAACTCACGAAGCTCCTCTGTGATTTCCATGTTACTCAAGTCATATTCTATTTCTCCTTCAGACTCAGAGTCGTCCTCTTCCATTTCGGAGCCCCTATGGGCATCCTCCCTCCCTTGCTGGGCATCTGTGTATGGCCGAGCTCCCCCACGGTACTGAGCTCTGCCATGTGGGCTACAGCTGGAAGAATAGTTGTGGGTACGTGGGAGATCATTCCCATCCCAATCTGAGTAGCGGCTGCTTGAAGAGGCTCCAGAAGGATGCTGTGGTAGGTGATAAAAGGACTCCATGGCCTTCCTGTAGGCTTTCTGGTGCCTACGCAACCAGCGCATGGCGAAGTCATAGTGCCTCCAGTATCTTGCGTACACTTGCTGAGAATACCATGGCTCCGTGTCTTCCTGTGGCCAAAAACAGGAGGGGGAAAGAACATCAAGAAAAAAGTAAATGTAAAAAAACCCCAAACCCAAAACAGGAGAAAAATGGTAATTGAGGGGAAAAACACTGTAAACACAAGCACAAAGTCCGCCTTTTAATCATTAGTCATCCTTTTCCTACGATAAACCATACAGGCCTGAAAGAGGGAAAATACTAACACAGTGCATTACACTTCATTACTCTGACAAGAGATTGTTTTGCATCAACAGAACTACCAGCAAAGAATTAGCAATAGAGAAGCCGTAGTGTCCTGAAGGAATTTTCAAAGCGTCCACACTACTAGTGGGAATCAGTCGTTTTTAAGAGGTATGCTGTGTGAATAATGCTCCACATTTCCTCAACCACTCACGTGAGCTCTAAGAACTGAATCATTCCAAGGTGTATGTATTACATCCTACACCTGACTTCCAAATCCGCAGACAGAAAACACCAGAGATTAAAATTCCTCCATATTAAACACAGACATTCATTTTATCTGCTAACATATTTCCTCCATCTGCCTGCCAAAAATAAGTTTCTCAGAAAAGGTCAAATGGCAATTCAGCCAAGTTCATATATCCATCATGGCCTCAATCAAAAACAAGGCTGTATTCAGCCAAGTGCAAGCTGCCAGTAAATCCCGCTTTTGTATTCATCAGCAACCAACGTATGAAAAGGGGTAATAATGTACCGCTGATAAAGTACACGGGAAAAATAGTTCTATAGAACAAAACATAGTGTAACACACCTTCTCCTGTCTTCCAGTTAATCTTAGTTTTCCTGAAAAAACAGTTTCATGCTGTTCACATTTCACCAGCAACTACAAAGCCCCACAGTCCCTCTAGCCTTAAGCTCCTTCCTACAGGCCATTTCATCTCCTTCCTCATCCTACTCTCAAAAAGAGGGGATAATAGAGGATCTTAAAAGAAGGCCATAAAGTAAACTGGAGCCTAGAACAAGTAAAATAAATAGCAGGGGTTTTTTTTCTTCCTCCCACATCCTAATTTCCACAGAAAATCTTTTATCTGGGACAAAACTGAATGCCTGTACTTTAAATTGGTAGAATTTTAATTAAGCCATATTTTGGCAAACATTCAAAACTATGGCAAGATTAGCTGAGATTTAAAAAAAACCCGAATGTGACATTTACAATCCTTTATTAGCTTTTTTTTTTTAAAAAAAAAAAAAAAGGCATACAAGAAATCTTTCTTTAAGCACCTTTTCTTGA